GGGGGTAGGTAATTTCTGTTAGTTGCCGCATTTTCTACCCACACTGAAGGCCTTTTTCCCTCCAAAATATTAAAGTGCAGTTGAAGTACCGCTCGATCGTACATCAGGAAAGCAAATCAGGAAACATAACCTATTGGAGATTTGACTACTAGGGTATTTCTACGCATTTGTTTATTATGGAAAGTCTCACAGAACGCTTTTATGCAAACGTTGGCGGATTCTAAGTCAAAACTTGGACGGATGTTACTTAGGTTCCAGTATCTTCAAAAAAATGAGAAGCTGTTCAAGCGCAACTATTGTACACAGTACGCGCTCCCAGTATTAAGATGCGCTGCAAATGTGAGCCCACTTACGAAGCCCCGCGACCCTGCCTTCCTAAAATCTACTCAATAGCGTCAAAGGCGTCTTTGCTAAAGCCTGCTTTCGCCCGTTGGGAGGCGAACCTATTACAGCTACGTATAACTTTTGATTTAGCAAGAGCAAAGGGGAACAAAACAAATTTGCGAGGAATCCAAAGCTGTGCTCTCAAAAGGCTGAACAGAAGGATAGGCGTGTGACAGGACTTTCAGATGGCATAGGTGGCAATAGGCTCGTGATGCCTACACAAACAACAGAACTGAGTGCAACCCAGAAGGACGAGGTCAAGGAAAGACGAAAAATGAAGGGAGAACACACAACAGGTTGGACTGGGGAGCTCCCACATCAGAATCAACTATCCCTCGCGAGTGCACGCGGTGTGAGAGAATATGTGAGTCAATTTTTGGTTCATCAACTGGTTACGTGTGACAACGTAACGAAATAAGTTGCTGCGTATTTGTGTGCGGCGTGATGGTGAAATATCACAATTAAGCATCTTGACAAAGCTCCTCCTTTAGCTTTCCGAATAACCAGAGCGTATGTTGTTTACTGAGCACGCTAACATAAAATGTCCTCCAAAAAAGCACGGAGAAACGGATTATGGAACTCATATTTTGTTTTACTAATGGAACGTTCTGTTAGAGTTCAGAAAAACAGTAGGGACCTCCCAATCATGCGACATAAATTAGCATCAATATCACCAGGCAACCTCCGGCCTGCTATACTCGTTCAATCATAGTTACGCAATCGCAAGGTCGCCTATTTTGAGGGGGTGGGACTTTTCTATCTCCATGTACGGTCTAGACAGTCATAAAAGTTATACTAACCGTTTTCGTAAAGATGTACCTTCATGGGAGATCAAAAACTTATTTCTCAGTACTTGCCCAAGAAATCTGTCCAGTACAACAGTTATGGAGTCTACGTTACAAGAATAGGAAAGTAGGCCCATGCCCTATGGGTAAAGTGAACGAATATCCCAATTAATTCGACTGAATACCTGATGCGGGTGGTTTGAACTGGTAAAAAATATCGAACTGATCGTGTACCAACCTTCTTTGTATGAATTTGACCGGGTGAGTTCTTACAGACAACACAACAATCAGTTTAGTTCCATATACAAACAGCTAGAGTTGGACAGTAGACACCTAGCGTATAAGAGAAAATAACTACTAACCTCTTCAGAGAACATTTAAATCAGGAAATATCGGATTTTATTATTGCAGATTACAATGAGTTAGAAGACCGTGACAAAACTCGCACATACATTTTAAATTACAGTTTCCCTCCTACGGGCAAGTAAAATGGTTCTTGTTATTGAAGTAATTCAAATTATAGACCCAGTGCTTGAATTGAACACTTTACTAGCATTACCTTCTGTGTCAACTTCTATTTATATTGGGATCCACAGAATGACCGGTATCTAGCAAATACTTAGCAGTAGATGAACGAGGAGTTCCATTTTCTGGTTTAACTAGCCAAATAAGCAAGCGCTCCTTGGCTCCGGTTGCCAATTGCCTTTGCGTTCGCGCTATGTACCTGCATCCGCAAGTGCATGTAAATTCATAAACACAACTTGAAGTGGCGTGCACCGGCCAAAACCTCTTTCCGGGTATTTGTTCGGGCACGAATAACTCGCACCTTACGCTACCTGGAGGCAGCCTATATATGGCGGTTTATACCCGACCTATCTAAACAGCTGGAGAGTATGATAAAGCTAACTTTGGGGTGGTAACGCCGCTCCCTGATTACACATTTCCCACTTTTGTTACCCACAGTGTTTTAACTTCCCGCTTTATTGATTAGCCTTCGTGGCCATTTTATTCGACCTTGCTGTTTGCATCGAGTTTTCTGTACGAATTCAATTTATATTTTCTCTTACGTTATTCGTGTTACGCAACGAAAGGAGGCAGCTTATGAGCACTCTCGAAATTTATGGATCCAACGAATTCTGCTGTTTACGCAATCTTCAAAAGTACATCAGGGAAAAGATGCAAAGCCGTATATATTGTGGGGGTTCCTATTTCTGAGTCCATGAACTTCATATTAACCAAATAAACAAGTTATGTCAAGCTGAAATTTATAGATCTCGAAGGAAAATATTATAGTCCTAGTTATATCGTTGCAAGATGGGAGATTAAGAAATCATCAATATCCAAGCGGCATATAGTAAGTCTTTTCATGAATTGTTTCATATATTTTCGCAAAAAAATAATTAGTAAAGCAGTCAATTAGACAAAATTAACCCCGATGATGGTTAAAGGAATCCACTACTAAGTGTCTAATATGCCGTGACCTTCTGTTATGTCAAGAGGGCGTCAGAACCTGATTGATACTGAATAAGTCAACACTCTCCTTTGAAAATAACATGTACAGTTAAAGTAAAACTGCTAGTGGTTTTGGACTTACCTGCCAAAATGATCGCCAATAATGCAGTTCCAGCCCGGTTTATAGGCTTTGTCGAACTCCTTCTTCACATAGTCGGCGGCTATTTTAAGTGACGTTTCATAGCTGAGAACAATAGCGGCACAGTCTACGGCGTAGTACTGCATCTCATCCGGCATGTCCGTACAATATACTCTAGCCTCTTTGAATTCTCGCATCATGGACCGAAGAATCGGGAAAATGGCGACTAACGCAAGCGCTCCTACTGTCTAGCGTGTTCTCCGTGGCTATTCTGACTGCGCGGTAGACGAAAGGGTAAAAGTCGACGGGAGCAGCAGCTGTTGTTTGAGAGGACAAGATGGTGGGTCGGCGTTCCGGACTAGTTCACACGTTGAGGGCTGCTCAAATGAACACCTGTGATGATGATGGTGGTTTAGAATGGTTTACACACGCGTGCAGGCAGCTGAGTGCAGGCGTTCTGCGACCTCAGGCTTGCCAACCGCTCAACCTTCAGACGGTCCCACCTAGTAACGCGTTAGCCAATCACATTGCGCAGAACCTTTCGACTGTGTTTTTGTCGCGTCAGGAATGCTAGGTGTATTCGGCAAAAAGTATTAGAATTAAAAAATATAAATGCTTGATGAAATGGACTAAACTAACAGGTTTCTCACGGAATTAACTAGAGTTATAGCCATTTAAAATGACGTCATAGGAATCTGGATGGAGGATGTGATCATGTATTTTATCTGCATAAAAGGTCCTGCAGAAATGGATCCATAAGACTGCCGAGCAGACGATGCTCTCTTTAAATTCTCGTTAGTCTGTGTCCTTCTTTTCCTGTCGCTGGTTTCTGAGAGAATAACGTCTTTCCGTTTACGAAGATAGAAGTTTTGAATTGAGATGAATAGCTGCTATCATCCAATATCCGAAGAAGTCAGATAAACAAACATAAGTATGATTCCACGGCAACCGTAGCTTTTGTAGGCCCACTCATTAATCTCTTCTCCCTGTATGTTCTACGAAAACGGTGGTTATAGGGTTTAATGGGTGGGGAATTAGTACACGCAGTGGAGTATACTTAAATAAATGCTAAATACATTTTTATTTTACTCTATTTAGAAGTATGGTTGATTTTTATCTGTACATTTTCCTAATCTGCATTATCATTTAACTTATTGCGAAAAAAAGATCATAATTGCAGGTTTCTTGAATTTCCCGAAAAATTGAAATTTTGGTTAGGAGGTCGCCTACTTAAACTTACCTGAGGTCTAAATTACTGTTCTGGAGTTAGATTAGTATAGTCCACGGCGCGAAGCGCCGCGCACACCTCCAATTTACATGCGGGAAAACTTACTCCCAGCGGCCGCGGGAAGCAACATCAACTAGATTTTTTTTCACTTAGTTCTAAAAATTTCCTTCTCTGCCTATCCTATTTGCCCACCCCTCAAAACTCTATAATCACCGTTTTTGTAGGACAAAATGCTGGGACTCAGGGTATATGAGTGGATCTACATAAGCTACTTTTGCCGATTCCACTTCAACCAGTTTTCCTATATCAGACCAAAAGTTCGAAGATCACGTAACTTAGCCTTAATTTTGGGACTTTTTGCGTAAAGAGTTTGTGGTAGCCCTTTACCATAACTGTATATACAAGTGTACAAATTGTTCCGCGCAGTAGCGTGTGGGTAATTGACCTACTCTTGTTATGCTAAACAAATCATTACGATTTCTCATATACATTTCGGTAGGGCAGGACAATAGAAACCCTCCGTAATAAAGTTGGTCTTGCGTGTAGGCTAACGAAAGGGCTGCAGTGGGCGTTAGCGCCACTGTGGAAACCCGTGATCGCTGACTCATCACGCCAAAGCTGCCCGCACCCTGTCTGGCGCGACCTACTAGCGCGCCCAGTCTCGGGTGTCCCCACACCGCGGCGTAACCTCACGCGGTCCAACCAATCACCTCCAAGGCTGCATAAAACCAGACAGCTAACGGTGCCGCTCGAATGAATGTCGCCAGACATCACTCAGGGCCTAGCCCGCCTCGCGGCTATACGTGCGCTCCGGCAGCCAAGAATTCGTCCTAACCATTCTCCTATCCGTCTGTACAGAACACACTTTTTCTAGCACTCTGGCCTTCTCATTATTTCTCTCATCTCCTAAGGAACTGGGTTTGGAAGATCGAAGCCGTTAGGGTTAAACCGTAGTTGTCTTAACACTTCTCGATAAGGCTACTTGTGACGTTATGGTTAGGGGTAAGGTTTGGATTAGAGTAAGGGTTAAGACCCGATACGAAGTACCCTTGCTGGAATTTAGCACAAGGCCATCGGTATTACAGGAGAAATTTACAGAAGTCACTTCTCCTGTGACGCACATGGCATGTATTTTCAATCAAACCCGAATCCTGACCTTGCGTATCCATCACTGCAGCATGACGTCAAG